ATAGGCCGAGATCGAAAAATAACGACGGTTGAAAAAAACCTTTTTTCTTAATTAGGCGCGGTACGCGTGGTCTTAGCTCCTGTACAGCAATACGAAATAACCGTTGGCCGCGTCTCGCGGGTCCTTATGTCGTGTGTTGTTGTACGGGACGTAACGATCGCTATAGCTATACGAGAACCGCGGTGAAAAATCGCGTCTATAATAATATATTATAATTGAATAGTCGTATAATCATCATAATATATACCGAGACAGTTTATAGAGGGTGTTGTTTTTTTTTTTTTTTTTTTATAACGATTCAGCGATTGCGCCTAACGACTTGTACGGATATTTCTGGTGAAATTTAATTGGATTTTTCTCGGTCGCCATGGCGTATATTATATAGAAACGTTTAATGGTCCTGACTACGCGTATATCGACAAACCGGATTCGAAAAGAAGACGTTTTTCTGCAAAATATCGTTACGCGTATACATAACTGCGCTATAATATCGCCGTGTTCGATGGTCGTATCATTACCTAGTTCAGATGAATTGTATAGTTTGAGAAAACATTGTTATATCTGGGTTCAAAATGAGCGGGGGGGGAGGGGGTCGCTATTCGAAAATCAAAAGTTAATACTGTTCGTTTAACGATAGTGTACAGGAAGAATACGTATTCGAAAATAGCGTTGAAATTTAGCTTATTATAAACTGCGGAAATCGAATTTACATGGATAGGCATTAACGAGTTAATTTAACTTTTTAACTTAATAAATGAATTTTTTTTTTTTTGAACTATTAACTTAATTATTGTTAACTTGAGGAATACAAAATAATTAACTTTTAATTAACTTGAATTATTTATATATTGTGTATACAAGTTAAGTTGTTATCTTTTCAAATTTTATTTGTATGCTTATATAAATAAATATAATTTTATTATTATTAACAATATACTGTGAACATTTTAAAATACTAATTACGAATGCCTGTAATTTTTTTACTATTGTTTTCGTCTTGAAGTTTTAGGTAAATTATTAGGTTATTATAGTAGGTATTATATTAGGTTTTTAATTAACTTAACATGAGTTAAAAAGTTTGTTATAACTTTTGGTTAACTTCTTACATAGTTGAAATAGATAAATTATTTTGAATTAACTTTATCTAAATTCAAATTTAACTTAACTCGACCGAGTTGAAGAAAATCATTAACTTGTTTCTTTTCATCCGGTGTTTTATAATTATATAGGTATATAAATATAGGTTATAACGAACGAACGTTTGACACAAAAAGAAAAAAAACTCGTTTCGGTTGACAGAATAGTTTTTTTTTTTTTTCGGGGTTTCCTCGCCCGTTTTCCCTCGCGTGTAATATTTATCGAGTGGCTCACACGTACGCGGTGTATAATAATTTATTACATTCAAATCGTTAATACGCGCTGCTGCCTATTATTTAGAGACCTCACGCGAGGTTTTTCGTCTCTCTCTTAAAAAGGAGCGTTAAACTCCCCTTGTTTTAATCCGACACCGTGAGACATATAATATTACACGAGTATTATACAGGATATAGGCAAATTCGTAATATTTTCTAATTTTATTTTATTTTATTTTTTTCTCGACCGCCGCACGTCACGTCACGTCGTCATCGATCGTCACGGATTCCGACAACGCCCAACCTCCTCCCCCACCCCCGAACACGATACGCGTCGGTTTTTTGATCTTCACGTGACCGGAACACGCACATATATAATATTATTAATACCGTATATATATATATATATATATATATGCGTATAAATATACATTTATTATTTATAGGTATAGGTTAGTTATACGTATAAGGAGGATACGACTGCGCTGCGCGACGTCTTTGGAATACCAATCGCGCGGCGCATTTTACACGCGACAAATACGGATCGCTCGCTCACTACCTTATCCCCCGCCGTCCTCTCGCCGCGACTTTGTTCGACCGTTTTACATACAAAAGACTGGTTTTCCTTTTTTGTCGTCTCGTATTAGTCGCGGTCATTTTTTTTTTTTCAGCTAGACATCGTCATCGGCAACGACTGCAACATATTATATTCGTGCACATCACTGCACCAAAACGCACACGCGCACCTTACGATAATATTACACCTATTTCGTCATTATTTTTAAGGCCGTATAATATAACATCGTTATCGTAATATGCAGTTGCGATGCGGTCAAATATACATTTTCGATTGGCCGTGTATAGGACGAGAGTGTGATGTGAGGACGAAAAAAAAAATTCCGGACGAATATATGCGAACCTATATATCGAACCAATTTTTCGAACCCTTATGACTATGTACGAAACCGAGAAAATATTGTAACCGAACAAAGAACAAACCCGATAGTTTCAGCCAACTCGAAAAAACGATGGAATATTTTGAAAACTATACCGCGTCTGCAGAAAGTATTAACATATATAATCGAAGTGTATTCGGTGAAAATGTCACGTCTTCGCGATTATATTTTTTAACGGATTTAATGAACCGTATATAGTTATTCCGATTACGGTTTTCTACGATTACTCCCTCATTGTTCAGAAAAGTAGATAGTGTACAAATTTTGAAACGAAAATAGCTCGTTTGACAATAATGATGCGCCGATACTCGTAGTAATTCGCTTTTCGTTACCGGAAATCGCCCCTGAAATTAATGACGAGCGATATTCCGGTCGAAAATTTGATTACAGGCAACAGAAAAAATAAATTCACATGTTCGACTATAATACATTTACCGTTCGCTTTACACTAAAAAAAAAAAATTACAAAGTATAATACATTGCATATAAGGGTATAGTATTATATAATAGACGTCTTCCGGTGTGGGATTTTCGGCGTCACTACCTATATATTTGCCGACCGCTTCAAAACGCTGTCGACGCGTCCGCGTTTCGAAAATATCTGCGAACAAAAACAAAAAAATATATATTTGTGTTATTTCGTATTATTCAACGAGCAATAATGTTACTTTTAAACCGGTGCTGTCGAAATGTCGCAAACACATCCGATGCATAAACGCATAAATGCATAATGTACGCAACGAAAGGACGTCGCGTTTGTTTTCATTGATCGTTCTGATTTGCGTTGATCGGTAGGCTATACCTGTAAAGGCGCACTGTCAATCAACAACGCGTCACTGTGACATGTCAGTAATAATGTTCAACGGCATATAAATTACCGTTTTTCCGCGACAATATCTACGAATATCGAATTCGCATTTATTTGCAATATACGGCGAATGACAACGCATTTTTTAAAACGTGTCAGTAATACACAATTATTCAGCGGCGTATAAAATATTATTTATCAACAACAGTCCACGGATCGATATGTCGCATGGACGTTATAATTTGCAATGTATTTTCTTACGAAGCCCGGGTACAATATGCTACACGTAACGTATATTGTGCAGCGGGACACAATTTTTGTATGTAAAAATATCTATAGACATTTCATAGAACACGACAATTATATAAATATACGGGATTTATCTATTATAACATAATATATTTTCTACTTTTTTAGTTTCTGCGGCGTATAGGTTTTTTTTTAGGGTTTTTTTTTATTTTTTTTTATTTTTATCTATATTAACGAAACGGATCCACGAAAATGAACCCCGTTTTTATTTATTATATTTTTTACATTTCCGATTTACTACTCTATCGGACTTATATATTATATAAATTACACGTTCATCGGGAAAATATATACATATATACACGCGTATAATTTATTATTATATTTATTGGATTTTCAGGGTTGGACCGGTCTGAAGGCCCTCGAAAGCAATTTCCTTAAAACGCCTTTCGCGTTCCGGAAACGCCATTATGTTATATAATACCGCGGCGCAGTCGAACCTATAATTTTCATCCATTTATGTCGGAATGGTTTTTTTTACTTTTCTCCTTTTTTTTTTTTTTTCTGCGCCCCTTCAACTTTATTTATTACCGCGCTCGGCGGCGTTGATAACCTACATTTTAGTTGGTTTTTTCTTTTTTTTATGACGACAACCGCAAAAAACAGAAAAATATATATATAATATGCCATCATGATGATGAGGGGATGAGGGGTAAAGTCAGTATTACTATAATATAATAATATAGCGCAACCGTTACAGCGTTGTAAAAACAAAAAAAAAAACACAAAAAAAAAAAAAATACTACAAATTATATACATTTTAGTTCGAAGTTTTCGAGTGCGTACTTGAGAGTTGAGTATGGATTTTATGGGTACCTACCTACGCGCGTATAATACCAGCGCGCATTATTTATAAAATAAAGTGAATTTCGAAAATCGACAAAAAATACACTTTTATCGGAGCAATAAATGGATTCGGGTATTCCGTAATAATTCAATTACGTTTGTTACTATATATTGGTGAAAAACCGTAAGCAATACGAGCCTTTTACCGTCGTATATACCTGTGTATTTACGATCAAGACTGGACATTAATTCGAATTAATAAGTTAAAGTTAAGTTAATTTAGCATTTAAATTTTATAAATTAATTTTTTTTTTTTTTTTTTGAACTACTGTTAACTTGAGCAATACAAAAGGATTAACTTTTAATTAACTAGAGTTGATTTTCTATCTAAACGAGTCAAGTCGATTTCAATTTCCATTTGTACGCTCACATAAATAAATACACTATTAGGGCTGTGTATTTAACGCAGCGAAAAACATTGAAAATGTAATAAAATGTATTTATTATTTCGAAATGACTTTATATTATACGTGGACAAACGAGAAAAAAAAACAAACAAAACGGACATTCGAGCGTTCGTGACAGTGTTATATTACCGCGTCTTCTCAATAAGACGCGACACGCAACGATTATGCGTAAAGTGGATGTGTAAACACGAATGCGCGACGTTTCCAATTGGCCGGATTCGCGCGCCGGGTCTGTACGCGAACCGCGCGACGTCGCGCCCGCACGCTACCCGTGCGCGCGCAGTGTCGCGCAATTTTACGATCGGTACGGTTTCGGGCGGCATAAAACCCGCACTAAACACCGCGACGGGCAAAACGACAACACGACAACGGACGTTCGGGAGACGCCGTTTATCCCGTCGCCCCGGCACGCGCGCGTTCGTTTGCGCGGGTTTCGCGGGTAGTTTTGTCGCGCGCTCGGCCACGCGCGCGGGTGTACGGTGTACGCGGCCGTCTGAAACGTTCATTTTAATCATGTTCGGCGCGAGCGCGTTCGTTTCGGTTTTCGTCGATAGCCGACCGGCGCGCGCGATAACGACAATGCGATGCGTACGGTCTGTAGGAAAAAAAAACAAAAAAAAAAAAAAAAAAAAAAAAACGCGCCGTACACTGTAGTTACGCGGGACACGTGGGCGCACGCGTTTCACGGCGAATGCCATCCCGTCGCCCCGGGTGTGTGCGGGCGCGAAATAACCGCGCAGTCCCGTCCGGCCGGAACGGTTTACTAATGCGCGACGCGGTTTTCCGAACGAAACGAAATCCGTTATTACACGGCGTTTACGAACGCCGGGCGCGCTCGGTATTTCGCGGTCCGTGTATAATAATACACGTACGTACAATAATCGTCTCTCGATTTCGTGTTTAACGTGTGTAACGACCGTCAATGTTTAGACTGCTCTGCAGACACCGTCGGCGGACGGGACCACCCGAAGCTGCGAACGATTAAAAACAGCGGTCGACGACGTGACGGCTATAAAAAAAAAAAAAAAAAAGGAAGAAGAAAAACAAAAATACGCGCGCGTTATTATATTCTCGTGCGTTTCGGCATAAACAATGGCGTTTTCGTGTAATATATTATTACGTGTAGATTTTCGATTCGACAACGTCCGCACTATACACGGCGTGCATGCGCCGCGGCCCATCGGTGAAATTACGCCGCATTCGTGTTTTTCCGTTATCGTCTTTCGCCCGTCACAGTTTCGACGCAGTACGGCGTGTTCACAGCTGCTATCAAACCCGAAGGTATTGCGGACGTTACTGTCTACGGTATACCGTTCGTACGCTGGTTTTTTTCGCGATATTTTAATATTCGATCGAGATGCACGATTACTTTTAAACGGCAGTATTTCAAACACTATTATTACGCCGCTTGAAAACTAAAGTATCGAAAATATCGTATCGTATCGAGAAATTTAGAAAACGTTCTTACATTCGGCCGGTACGACAATAGGCAAATACACACCGATGTTAACACTAACAAGTACAAAACGAACGTAAAGTGTCAGTACAACGTAATTTCACGAACCGGGCAATTCCCCGATAGGGGCAAATTTTGTTTCTCTGTGGACAACTTTTCCATCAGCACATTCGCTCCGATTTACAATGATAGCACTTTTTTTGAAAGAAAATCGGACCGGGAGAGGTACGTTAGGGGGGCGATTTGTTGATTTCCCCGGGAGTTTTCTTAATAAATTGGAAAAACCAGGAAAATAAGCAAACTATCAAACGAACTCCGCTCAGAATCGTAATTTTCGTTATAAACGGTTTATCGTCTCGTCCAGACATCCATTAAATTCCAGTCTATATTCTACCTTCCTGACTTCTCATCTGCAACAGTTACAACAGTGGCCGCACCCGTCATCGTAATTCCAGGACGGCTTTTTAACGTTCTAACGCATGCGCACCGGATTCTCCGTCTCCGCGGTGACGGCAATTCGAGTAACGATTTAAAAAAAAAAAAAAAATGTTCATATGAACGATCGCCGGCGATCACGTCCCGCCCCTAAAATCCGCTGCCGACCGAAACGGCCGTTGCGGGAGACCGCTATATCAGGCCGCGGGTTCGGCGGCGTGTATTCGGGGACCAATAGGTCCGCGTAACAGTTAGCCGCGGGTAGCGTGGAAATCCGTCAGGTGTCGTGCGTCGTTCACGTTTCTCGACCGTTTCGAAAACACAAGTGTCCGACTGTAACATTGCGTTGTGCCCGAATCCTCGTACGGCATCCTCGTCGGCGGTGCGACGTCGCTGTCTCGCGATACACACACTCGTGCGAGTACTCCCACGCAGCCGTGTCGTTTAGGTTATGCGCGCGATACGGTACGCCCGGCCCTCGCGGCGGTGCGTAAATTAACGCGAGCGCCGGCTCGACGGCTCATTTAATAACGGCGACAATAACAATACCGCGCGTGCGTTTATAACAATGCCGGGTTCATTACAATGACCGCCGGTCGGTTCATCGGGCGGTCCCGTGCGCGTACGATATTGCGTTCAATTATTTTTAGTGAACGTTCTCGCGGAGACCGTATACATTAACGCGGCCGTTTGTTTCGTGTTACGGCGCGGGGGCGCGTCACGAGTCGAGCGAGTTATGAAAAAAAAAAAAATGGAAAAAAAAAAACCGCTCGACGTTAATTATCGTCGTACGTCCCCGTCCCGGGACATTCGAACGTTCTCCCGTCCGTAATGTAAACCCGTTGTTTGCGATGACGGAGACGCGCATGTAACGCAATAGTTGATATTCGCACCGTGCTGCAGTTATATCGATACAGGGGCGTCGTCGTTTACGGCCGGGGAGCGCCCCCCACCCCCCGTCTCTCGTAAGCTTGACAAGACGGAGTTCAGCTCCCCGCGATTCCCGTGTTAAATGGGAAAAAAAAAAAAAACGAATATTCGTCATGTACATACTCGAAAATTCGAATTTTACTTCTGACGAGTTAATTGAGAGAGATAAACGGTTTTTTTTTTCGTTTTTCTCTTTTGACATTGATATAGTAGAGAAAACGTGTAGATTTCGATAATCTATCAGGTTCTTGGTCGACAGCGGGCGTCCGGCATTTTTCGATTTTTTTCCTCGTGATTTTTCACATGATACTATAATCAAATGCTATTGAAACGTTATAAACGTACGGAACGAACTCGCGAGCGTCCGTTTTCGGGGGCCAAGAGCGGCACGTCCCCCACGACTTTTCCGTATACACACGTATATATATATATAGTCGTACGCGCGACCATAATACGAATCGACGACGATTTGATCGCGATATCGTTGAAAAACGTAGTACATTCGTCCGGCCAACCACTCCCCCCCCCTTCCCACCGTCTCCCCGGTGACGTTTTGAAGAACGGCGACACGCGCATCGCATCGTCGTAAATTACAATTATTGGGTGTAGGGGCAAAAAAAACGACCCGATAAAACCGTGCGTAGAGCTTTCAAACACGTATCTCGTATTTCGTTTCGTAAATCGCGTACGCGTTTATAATACATTAATGTGACGCGTCCGTAACGCGCACAGTGCGCGCGCTGCTTTTATCGAAAATAATCGTAATGCGTTTGGCGTCCGGACAAGAAAAAAAAAACAAAAAAAAACGACGGAATCAATTTACACCGCCGCGCCAGGGGAACGGGAGAAAAAGAGACAGCGAGAGAGATAAAAGACGTTTTTTTTTTTATGACGGACCGCGCGAAACTGCGGCACGGCCGTGCGCAGCGAAACGGATTCGCGTTCGTCACTTTGTGTACACGGTATTATTACGCGGCGACGGCGCGCGTTGGACGCATTTTCCAACGTGGCGTCGTCATCGTACCGCGGTCCGGCCGATCACCGTGCGCGAACGCGCGACTATTCGCGTTCTTTCGCGCGGCGATTTCCGTCGGTATATTTTATGTAGCCCCGGAACCGCGTCGTTTTTCCATTTCCCCGAGAAAACGAGGGGGGGGGGAAACGGCGGGCGGGGAAAATTTACGAAACACGTTGTTTTCGAATCGCGTACACCGTCCGCGGCCTTTCTGGAACACGGTGTGCGGCCGAACCACACTCGGAATCGTTTTTCGTTGGCGACGGTCAACCCACGCGCGCGCGTTAAATTTCCCCTCCGCCCTCCCGACGACAACGGCGGCCCGCCCGCCGCGCGAAATACGTCCGTCTGTTTTGATTTTTGCGTACGTAACGGCCTTGAAGCGCGCGAAATACATTATCACGCGCGTACGTTATCCGAGCTGAACGTCCCGCGATGTACCCGTGCAGTGAAATCTTTTTTTTACGGTATGGAAAAAAAAAAAAAAAAAATGAAAATACGACGCGACACCGACACGGTGACGATGAGCGCACACGGGCGCAAAAGACCGACGCGTACGTAAATCGAAAACTATCGCCGCAGCGTTGTACGCGGCGAAAAACATTTCTAGCGAACAGAGAGGAATTTTTTTCCCCGGACGCTTGTCGCTTCTCCACCTCCGTTCCCCGACGCCGCGTACGCGCACTGTCGTTTATTATTTAATAGAAAAAAAAAAAAATTACTATTACACCGCGTCGAAGCGACACGTAATTTTTGTAATTTTTATTCTAATTTTTTTTTTTTTTTTACACGAATAGCTATAGGTATACAGTTCGACGCGCGTGCCATCATACTATAATAATTATATTGTTACGGTTTTATCGGTTTTACACACCGAAACGCAGCGTAAAAAATTAATTATATTTATTTTTTTCCCGAGAATTTCGTTGTATCGCTGTTAATTTCACTGCGGCTAGACGAATATATAATGACGTACAACGAGCTCATACATATACATATTATAGTTTATTATACTGTTTACAATTTCGAGGTTCGGGCGGGACGTATACACGGCGGGGATTGTTTACCCGTCCGGTTTTATGCGGTACATCACCGCTGTTGTGTTATAATCCAACAGCCGAATTAAAATAATAATTAATCGTTTTTTATATTTTGTTTTTTTGTTTTTTCACATCGTCCGCGTCGCCAAGGTTACCCGTATATAAACGAAGCGAATACGATTTTCGTTTCGAAAACGCCGAAAATCCAGTTCCAGTCGGCTTTCGTACAGCGTACAGTTGGATTTCTCTCGTTTTGAATGTCGGGCGCGCGCAAAGTTTCATCGGGACCGGCGAATAAAGCTTAAATCGATTTGTATAACCGGGCGTATAACCAGATATATAAATTTAACGGAATTCTTATGTGTTTGGCGCGAGAAGGGCCAGTTTCACTTAATGCGATTGTTGGGCTTTGAAATTGTAATTTCCTATATGACTCTGCGTCTTCAATATGTCTTTAATGTAAATGTTTGTACAATTTGTATTTGTATTATGTGTACACCTTTCAAAAAAAAAAAAACTATTGTCACTTTTTCTCATTTTTCCCTACTTTATTTTTTCAAAAAATCGACATTGGTCGTTCTCGCGTCAAGCCTAGATCAAGGTTAAATCATAGACGATACGCTAATAAAAAAAAAAAAAAAAAAAAAACCCGTCAACGGTGAATCTCCCCCGACCGCGGTGAA